GGATGGTGTTTGGGGCATCATTTGGACAAACGGAACTGCGCAGCTTTCTTAAAATGTTGGATCGCCATCCGCCGTTGTAGATATCTCGTATGCGATCTCTAAGCGGTAAGCATTGATCAGAAGTTCCCGCAAAAGTCGATAACAACTGGGGTGATGGTGGGATGGGCGTGAGCGTATAGTCTCTAATTGGTGGTCGTTCAGGCACCGAACCACATAACAATATTTATCGACATCATTGTTAGCGGAAATCATAACGTGTTTCTAATTTGATGACGTTTTACGTTGTTACGCAGACGTTGCAAACGTATCGACGCAGCATTATTGCGACAGAGTCCTGTTTCTCGATTAATCCCGGGAATTCTAAATTATCGCCACGCTGCTTCAATGAGTTGGCACCTTGCGTCTTGTATCCAGTGTAATCTATTGCGCTAGTAGTTGTTTATCGTGTTTAATATTGGGTTTACTATTCGCGGTTAGGATAAACTATTCGAATTGAAGTTATTAATTGGGTTTAAAATCAAGGGTTCATACTGGAGTTGTAATATAATGTAGGGATACAGGCTAGGGTTGTAATATAGTCCAAATAGAATGATAAATGCTGTTTCTTGTATTTAGTCACATAAGTTAAGTTGTATTTACTTTGGATTATAATTTGTTGAATTGAGTTGCCTGGAGATCCTAAACATTCGGTATGTAAATATTGTTTTATCTTGTATGATTTATTCTGTAATTTAGTATTGTGAATACTATTTTATCCTATGTGATTTAATCTGTGCATAATTGTGACATATGGTTATCTGCTAATTGATGTGAATTGTTATTGCTTGTAAAATGGTAATGCTGTTATATTTGATTAATTGTGCCATATAAGCTATTTAGTTTTATCTATTATTTTGGCAGAAAACCGTTCCATTAACAACGTTCCTTTACGTTCCTCATACCCGGTATCAAGATTTACGTTACGTTCCATTAACAACGTTCCGTTTCCGGTACCCGGCAAGTTCTATTTTCCTGATTCATGTTCGAGATTTGATTTGAAGTGTCTGTTGATTGTTATTAAAGATATTCACCGATTTCAAGTTGAATTATATTGGGGCAGCATTTGAAAGGCACAGACGAATCTGGCGGCACTTTAACCGCTGTTTACAGACTTTAATTGCTTGAAAGCACGGACTAGTTGTAACAATTAACCGATATAGGTTTGGGGTCAGGACTGGGGTATTGGGACGCGTTTTTGAAGTCTCCAATCTCTTAATGTGCGTGAGAAGTAACCAGGCTACATAGAATCGAGCGCAACAATCATTGTCTATCCTTACCATGCGGAATATGACAGATATTTTTCAATAAAAAAAAAATGATTGTATATACATACAAAAAATAAAAATATTCTACAGCTATTCTGACTATTAAATTGAGAAATTATCCGATGGTTGATGTCGGAGCACGTGATGATATTAACAAGATGATTTCAGCAATTATACCAATTATACACTTATATATATTTAATTTCAACGACGACGACTTTGCATAGATATAAGTATATTGTCGATTGAATAAGACATTTAAAATAACTTTGATTGTGACATTATTAATTAACAAGTAGCCTATAAAATGCAGTGTTTAGTAATCGTAATACACCATGCCTTCCTAGTTTCAAGAAAGTCAGTGTCAGTTTAGGGATAAATTCGTGAACATGTTGTTGAACGTTGTTGATGTAGTTTAATGTTGTAGATAGACACGGAGCACAAACGATGAAGACATGACGACACGACACCGCTCCAGACGACTTCACTCCTAATACAAGACCTCTCAATACATGACTTCTTCAATACCTTTTTTTTAAATATCCCCTTTCAAATATCCAATTGAAACCTTATATACGTATGCGCGTATGGTGATATCGATTCCATTAGGGTTATCGATTCGGGTTGGAATACTAATTAGCATCTGGTGTCATCGATCCAACTATATTTTTGGTTGGCATCTGTTATATAATTACAACGGGACCTTTATCGATCTAATTTATCATTTTGGAGAATTTCGAAATAAGCAATTTTCAGTCTTTTTATGAATTTTACTTGAAATAACGAATTTATCCCTAAATATATCTACGCCCTTTAGATTGGAAATCGGGGTTTTGGGCATATTTGTCACCTAACATACGTAAATTTCAAAAACACATTGAAAATGACAAAAAAACACAATCGAAAAATATACATAATGAAATTCAAAAATATGGGACGAGAAGACTCAATAATGAGAGGGAAGTAGGATGACAGTAAGAGTATAGATTAGAAAAGAAAAGGCGATTTATTGTTTTTTAAATTTAATTTCGACAGATAAAACTGATCTTTCAATCCAATATACTTCGTCACACTGAATTACAGATAGCTCATGTGTTTAAATAAATAGCGCCTTGTAAGTTCGCTTGTTGCGATATGTTGATGATGCCAGCTTCGGGCTTTGAACAAAAAAAGAAAAAATAGCGCTTTTTAGTTAAAAAAATACTCGTTTTGACGAATATATTGATGAGCTTATTTATGCACCGTTCTTATGACGATGTTATAAACGCTTAAAAGAGTGACTCGTTTGAGTCATCTTTTAAAAATAGTTCAGTGTTAATGAAATCTATCTAATGGAAATAGTTTGAATCCGTCAAATTTTAATTAATATAAATGACAAGAAATTTGAAATCGAATATTCACCTTCATTGCATAATCAATTGGTCATAAGATTATTTACAATTTGAGTAAACACTCAAATGGTCGTACTTTTACTTTTTTAATAGATGGCCGTTATTATACTTATACTAACTATACATTAAGGCATACAAATGCCAACATCAATGCATTGAGGCCAACATTGAAACCAATGAAAATAGACTTTCAAAGCATTGTAATATGAAACCATATTCCAAAATATGCCTCATGCTGGACATTCAGGCTTTGAGGATTTCAATAATATCCTAAAATCGATCAATCATTTAAATTTGGTTAGAGAAAAGATATTATTGGACCACAAGCCGTCCATCAAAGCAAACAAAAACAACGATTATATTATGGCCAAAAACGAAGTGGAAGATAACTTCGTGAATGCATTGTCGTTCATTAATCATCCAATTTTATCAGCGCTATACATGTTAGCTTACACTTAGGAATGTTTTGGGGCGTTGTATGGACCATATGCTATATAAAGCGTATGATTCCAATGCTTAGAGACAAATCAACCCCTTATATTCAAACAATAAGACAACACTGGGTCGATTATGGGAATCCTACTCAACCAACCATAGCAGAAACAACTCATAATAATAATAGATCAAATCGAGAAGACATCGAGACTGTTGTGCCCATTCATGCTCCCCACGTTTCCAATTCCCACCCTAACCTATACCCCACTCTTTCTTTTTGATTTTTTGCCTCCCTTGGCGATTTGTGTTAGTTTTCATGAATTGTGTTTGTTTATTCAAATGTATACGTACTAAAAAAAAAAAAAACGAAAAAAAAAAAAAAAAAAAAAAAAACGTAATATATATATACATGGAAAAAAAAATGTATCTAATTATTCGTTTATAGAATATGTAACAAACATCTTTCAATATCGTAACAGAGAAGAGAAACTATTTTCAGTCGACTAAATTTTATCGTTTTGCATGTTTTCTTCTTCACTTTTCATATTTTTCGTGTTTCGCAATTTAAATGTTTTTTATTCTATTTTTCGAACGTATAGGCACGATAATTATGTCTCAAAACCCGGAATTCCATTCCAAAAGAAGGGAGTATTTTATAGGGAAAGATTAGTAATTTGGACAAACATTTTTAAATACATAGGGAAAGGCTAATTATTAGTATTTTCGAAATTCTCCATATTCATAAATTAGGTCGATAAAAAACCCATTTTAAATTAGGCAACATATGGCAACGAAAAATAACTGGATCAATAACGTCCAGGTGGTAATTAGTATTCAAAACTTCGATCAATAAGGCTAATGGGATCGATAGCACCATTTTAATCCCCGGAATATAGATTTATAGATCAAATCCTTACAGTATTCTTTAAAATTCTGATTATGTTAAAATCCTCGGAGAGACATAATTATCGTTCGTTTTCTGTATATAAGGATCGCTTTCTTTGTAGTATTATCCAGTCTTGTAAATACAACCTTGACGTGTATACTGCTCAATAAAGTAAAGAAGAATTGTCGCAATTGTCGTTTGTCTACTATCATCTATTGTCTGCTGGGGGCGAGCGCCTACAAAACCGAACATAGAGGTGAAGAACAATTCGTGCAAGTTAAAAGCTAAGAGCCCGTGCTCCGATTAAAAGGCTACGAAAGATCTCTTACGCCGGCTAAAGTTATATTTAGGACACCCATCCTAAATCAGTACACTGCATATGTCTAGAGCACGTTGGGTTGTTTCACGTGCTACAACACTTGTATCCCTTGTCTCGTGTATCTATTTGGATTTATGTGGACGAAACACCTGAAGAATGGATTGGATGTGGACGAAACACCTGACGAATGAAATGGATGTGAACGAAACAGTTCCCGAACATTTGAACCCATGTACATTTGAACCCACGACAATTGCACCTGCATACTATTGCACCTATGGAGATTTTTTTTGTTTTGCGGATATTTGAACCCATACTAACCTAACCCATGGGTTTTAGCACCCGCATATAGATTGAACCCGCGGATATACACATGGGTTCAAATGTACGGTCACCGAACGAAACATTCTATGAGTGGGATAGATGTGTACGAAACACCTGACGAATGAGATGGATGTAGAAAAAAAAAAGATTGGGTGGGATGGATGTGTACGAAACACATGAAGAATGGAATGAATGTGGACAAAACACCTGAAGAATGAAATGGATGTGAATGAAACATCTGATAAGTGGGATAGATGTGTACGAAACACCTGACGAATGGAATGGATGTGGACGAAACACCTGAAGAATGGAATGGATGTGGACGAAACACCTGAAGAATGGAATGGATGTGGACGAAACACCTGATGAGTGAGGTGGATGTGAACGAAACACTTGGAGAATAGATTGGATGTAGACAAAAAACATCTGATGAGTGGGATGGATGTGTACGAAACACCTGACGTATGGATTGGATGTGGACGAAACACCTGATGAGTGAGATGGATGTGAACGAAACACCTGGATAATGGATTGGATGTAGACGAAACACCTGGCGAATGGGATGGATTTGGAAGGAACACCTGACAAATGAGATGGATGTGGACAAAAAAACATCTGATGAGTGGGATGGATGTGGACGAAACACCTGAAAATGGAATGGATATGGACGAACACCTGAAGAGTGGAATAGATGTAGACGAAACACCTGACAAATAGAATGGATGTGGACGAAACACCTGGCGAGTGGGATGGATGTGGACGAAACACCTGACAAATGAGATGGATGTAGACAAAAAAACATCTGATGAGTGGGATGGATGTGGACGAAACACCTTAAGAATGGAATGAATGTGAACAAAATACCTGAAAATGGAATGGATATGGACGAAACACCTGAAGAATGAAATGGATGTAGACGAAACACCTGACGAATGAAATGGATGTGGACGAAACACCTGATGAGTGAGATGGATGTGAACAAAAAACCTGAAGAATGGAATGGATGTGGACGAAACATCTGGCGAATAGGATGGATGTGGACGAAAAACCTGAAGAATGGAATGGATGGGAACAAAATACCTGACAAAGAGGATGGATGTGGACGAAAAACCTGAAGAATGGAATGGATGTGGACAAAATACCTGAAGAATGGAATGGATGTGGACGAAACACCTGAAGAATGGAATGGATGTGGACGAAACACCTGAATGATGATGGACGAAAACTGAAGAATGAATGATGGACGAAACAACTGATGAGTGAGATGGATGTAAACGAAACACCTGAAGAATGTGATGGATGTGGACGAAACACCTGAAGGTGGAATGGATGTGGACAAAACATATCGTTAATGAGATGATGTATGTGAACGAAACATGGAACGAAACGAAACATCTGATGAGTGGAATTCATTTGAACGAAACACCTGTTGAATGCGATGTATGTGGCAAAAACCCTAATGAACGAGATCTATAAGAACCAAATACGGCTGGATTAGATGTATATGGACAAAACTTCTGTTGATAAGATGTATGATAAACGGGATTCATGTGGACAAAATATTTGACGAAACAAGATTTATGTGGACAAAACTCCTAATGAAGTAAAACACATAGCGAATGAGGTGTTGGTGGTTAAAACATTTCGTGATATGAATGTATATAGTCAAAACATCTGTTAAATGGTATGTATGATAAATGGGATCCCCGTGGACAAACCATCTGATGTATGAGATGTAGGCGTACAAGACAGCAGTGCTTCCCAATCTTTTTCTTAAATTTCTTCCTTCTCCAATTTTGGATCTCATTATTCCTTCCTCACTATGCATAAGAACTACTTTATTTATGTGATCTTCAGATTTTTATTTATTGTTATGCTCTAGTTGCGACCCCGATTTTGTACAGTTCAAGTTTTTTCTAATGTGTGCATATATATTATAGTAACCATAACGAACTCTAGAAAATCAGTTTTACTACAACAAATACAAAAGCAAACTTTTAACCCAAGAACGATAAAATTTCTCAACGGGGAGGATTTCTATCGGTGAATGAGCCTATCTTTACAAATATATAGTATATGCTCGATCCTTAAATGATCGATTGAGATAATTCGTATATTTTTTGTTAGAAATACACATTTGTAAAGCAGACTAATTACTTCAAAGACATGACTTTATGTCTTATCATTGAATGCGCCAGAAGTTTATTGCCAAAAATATATCCTGATTACAATGTTTCAAGAAATTATGGTTTCGAGGTAAGTCTTCAATTAGGCTAATATTATCAACATAAATCAAACTGATAAATCTGATCAAAAATTTGACTTAAATATTAAAAAAGAGAAAACCCGACAAAAATAAAAAGGAAATCGCATACAATAGTAAAGCAATCTGTGCTTGCAATAAATTACCAAACATCTTGGCAATTGAAATGTATATATATGAGTTATTGCAGTTACATAAAAAATCGGGAAGGAAAATCCAACAAAATAGAAAAAGTACCATAAAATAATATGGTAGCATTCATGTTAGATGGGACAATAATTTCTTAGTTAGATAGATAATTTTAACATCTGGTCGGGACTTTATCAAATTTTGCATATTATATTAGTCTACAAACTACCCGAAATATAAAAATGGGAGTCTCAAAAATTCCGTGTCCCGCGTGTCACATGGGAAATACAAATGTGTGCTGTTCCATCCCATGGGAATCCCACACGCCGGGTAATAAAAATTAAAAACGGGTTTCGGTGCCCCAAACCCCACGTATATTTGTATACATAAAAATTTGAACCCGTGGATATTTTCTACTTTAGTGTATTTGTACCCATAGTGATTTTGTCCTGCGAATATTTGTGCTTAATTCCTGATAAATTACAGATTATAAGTATAATCTTGGTTACAGTCGGCTAAGTCTTTATAGTCGTTACAAGTTACAATCTTATCCCACACTTGCCTTCGTTACTGTGCAACGAAATAACGCAAATGTACCACATCTAGGGGTGGGCAAAATCGAATATTTTTTTCGAATCGAATAATTCGAAATTTTTAACGAATACCGAATAGTCGAATATCGAATATTTTTTATACACAACAGGAGGTCCAGAACGTCGGTCGATACTCCCTTTGGGAATTAATAAAGACATTGAAAAATCGGCTACAAACGTTTTTTTCTGGTTCATTCCGTCATAATCGCTAATTGTTTTTGTCACCGTGACCGTTTTTGCGGTGATATATAATCTATATTACCGCCATTATCGTTTTTTAAAAATATTAATTCTTTCGGGTCGGCGGACATCGAAGTTTATATTTCGGGTTTACCCGTGCGTTCACTTCGGCAACAGCTAGCTGTTAAAGACATTAAGGATTGATTTCAAAACCCAAATTGATATTATAAGTTTTTATCATTTGCGTTGGCTTTCATATTACTTATCAACGTTTGTAAATTTACCGTCACAATATTAAAGCGAACGGTAATATTGTTAGCGATACCGGGATGCAGATATTTATAAAAAACAATACCGTAAATAACTTTGCTATGCTTTTCTTTGTTGTCTATGTTACTTTACAGATAAACCTCACAAAGCTGCGCTTGCGTCAATCCTGAATGTTGATTTAAAATAGTGACTAAATACGAGTATTTCGGCAATAAAGGCATTTCTGCGTGGCCATATGGCGAGATGACGTTAATAAACAGCGCTTCGTGAATAATAATTTACATATGCGACCCTAATACTAAAAATAATTGCGCCTTTGTACTTTTGTACCTAATAGATGGCCATGCGCTAATTATAACTAACTCGAAATTCAAATTCTGTTACATCGAAATTCACGGTTGATTTTACGTTATACTCCTGTTCACGATTTCTACACTCCACCCGCCATGCATGCCCGAGTGAAATGTATGCATTTTCGAAACATTACTTGGTCAAGAATGAAAGGGATTATTTGAATGTACATTAAAAGAACTATGTCCTGCCATTTCTTTTCTGGTCATAGCTTGTTCGTGATATACTATGTATGGTTTTATGCGAAAGTTATTTCAACTTTTAATTTTCATTAAACAAATTTATGTTTGGTTCATGCATAAAACGGCCGTGCCGCCAATCATACAGAGTTTAAAATCTGGGATATGCATTTTAAATACCTCGTCTGATTTGACGTTTCTAAATTTGGGGAACGTTGTCGGGACCTTTTTTTGTAAAATAGGAAATTGAAACAACACCACAACGCAAGGCCGATTTTTCAAATTTGTCGCTTTTGTCTGTAAGCGAGTGTTGTAGGTGAATTCTCGCGCAACGATCGGTTCAGAAACGTTCTGTGCCCAAGTGAAGCGCGCAGATCACGTGGTACCCGATATTCGAATAGTAAAATGCCATTCGAATAATTTAATATTCGATTCGCTATTCGTTATTCGAATATTTTGCCCAGCCCTAACCACAACAATCACTACTAATCTTGCTTCCCGGCGGTGTTTGGCTAGGTTTGGGGTCATTATCTGTCTCAAACAAAAGCAATGCATCGGAGTTAATTGCACACATGAGACTGTTTGCGATCAGGAATAATAACAAGAGAGCGATGCTCAAATATATGAATATAATTTTGTTGGTTGTATATGGATGATGATAAATGAAATTCTTCTTCGTCGTGTGAAAAATGATAAGCTCTTCGCAGTTGTTGTATGTATACAGAATTGAGCGTAGTAGCCTATAATAGGGTGATTGCGTAAAAGCGTACCGAGCGTGCTGACAAATAAGTCACGCCTGTTTCCCACTCTCGCGAGTGGAAGCTTGTATGAACGTAAAGTTTTCTGGTACCATGACGTTTTATTGCAACTTTGAACTTCCTACTGTTTTTAACAGTAAGTTATTACCAAATATAACTACAATTTTATAGATCATGCAGATAGAACACAGCGATTCCTTGCGCCTGTGCGCAACAAGACGTCTGCAGAAGGTACCATAATTTATTTAAAAACATGCTGAGGCGCTACTTTGCAAACGTACTAGGTTGCAAAGCAATTTACGGTGCAATTAATTCAAGTACTTCAAACTGTTTGCATCGATTCTAATGACATGTCATTTAGACATTTGAATCTATTAAATATCAATTTCTGATCTTCTGCAATATCTGTTTGTCAAGATGATAATTAAACTAAAAACTTGTGATGCAATATTCTAGTTATTACTGAGAAGAAGCCAAATAAATTCCGAATGATGCAATAATTCAGTATACGACGAAATGAAAAAAACTTGAAAAATGAATAGAAAGAGTTTTTTTTTGACAGAATTGATTCACCTTAACACGACCTATTATTATCGCTCTCAACTTATATCTGCTGTGAGCCTGTGATGTGTAATTAGTGAGTAGTAATCGACTTTACACCCCCGACTTTCATTTAATCCCTACTTCTTCTAACAAAAAAACATGCTGTAGCCACTTTGATTCACGGGAGCCAGAGCTCCGAGATTACAGAGCCGCAGGTTGTCGATCGCTGGCGTATGGGATAGCTTCTGTACGGCTAGTTTGAAAGGGGCACAACGCTCGAGAAGTTTTTTATCTTCGTCAGTGCGTATAGGATAGTTTCTGTTCGGTGTCTTAAAATGTCGTGTCCCAGGTCACCAAAAACGTGGTGGGTCACTTTGTGTAACCAGTGGGTCAGTGGTTCGCCTTCGCCATCCCTGCTGTTGTCTGTGGATGTCATGATGACTCTGATCAGTGGTCCATCCAATGCTTCCACAAACCTTATACATTCAAGAACATATACACGGAGTGTCGGTATGTGACATAAATTTCTCCTCGCTAGCAAAGGATATACATTGACAGTCTATCGAGCTTGAAGATAAAAATCATTGGGTTCGGCCAAAACATGGGCAAATCGCAAGATGCGTAGACAAAATGTAACTAGATTGTACCTTTCCAAAATTTGGTTTGAATTGAATCATAACATTAGTATTAGAATATAATAAGCCTTGAAAAAACGTAGGTGAGTAAAGAACAATGAAGTAAATTAAAATCGCTCTGCAACTGCAACCATGAAAGATGTTTTCAATCTGCAAATTAATCAGTCTCTAAGCTGCGTAATATTTCAAACACTTCAGCAAATGGAAAACCTTTACCAGTCAGTAAAGCAACAATTCTGAAATTCATTCGGAACTTATTTTCGAAAATGCAACTGATTGAAAAATAATGCTCATTGGTCTAATTCTACACTTATATCGTAAACGCATTTCCACAACGTCTAGACCTAGAGTTAACAGCATGGCGATGGCCTAAGCTGCCCAAGCATGTCATCTTTGCGATTTTGGATCTTGATAAGTTAAAAATAAAGCTTGTACCTACTACTAATTTCTGCGAAGAAAACACAACAGCAAATTTGGCCATCATGGGCAGTTGATGACAAAATTAAATATAATGGTATATCTGCAAATAATCAGTTATGAGCTTTGTTTGTATTCTTGAAATTGCTCCTGCTCGAGTTTGGTCATTAGAGTATTCAATGCGTATATCTGAAAAGAGTTGACATGTCATTGCATGGATTATGAAATGAGCTTGTCAGATTGGTAATGTTAAAATACATACCGGTACCTAAATAAATACATATATTGGATCTCTGGAAGTATTCGTACCACGATGACGCACAACTTGAACAACCCTGACCCTGTACACATACTATGTTCAGGTTGTGCGCCATCTTGTTACGAATACACCAGGAGGCCCATATATTTATTATTATTGTCAAATAATGCATCGGATAACCAAAGATCAATTCATATTATGGTAAACCAGGGTGGCTGGATTAACATAAAAGTACCCTGCATTCAAGTATATCTGAACATGGACAGTGGAGGAATCTGTCACCCGCCAGCACGAGCCATCTTGCCATTGTGAGGATTCAAATAATATTTCATTCATGCGAATACTACTGATTGCATAGTCATGTTTTCGAAATCATTCATATGTAAATTTACTCATATCAAGCTCGCCAATCCAGAAAGTTTATGTTTAATAAAATTCGGACTCTAGTTCAGATTGATATAAAAAACTTGATGAGGTCAATTATTTGCCAGAAATGCACTGTCTATAGTGCCACTGACTGGCATTCTAACTAAAAATTTATTGAATTAGCTGCAATACCTTTGACCTCTGTTGTTCTTTTAATCTCTCATTCGCCTTCATTGCTAAAATTTTTCTCTCATGTTTATCCGCATTTTCTTGCTTCTTTTTCATTTCCATATGCTTCGTAATGACGTCTTCATCCCCATATCGATGTATGAGCTGAATTCTCATGGACAGTTGACGCTGGTTTGAATGATACAATTGATTGTTTGAATTGGCACAAGGATTGAGATATATCAAAGACCAGCTATGCTTTGTTTAGGTATTCTACAAATAGCAGGTATGGTAATTAGCCCAACCTCAGCTGGGTCTAGATTACAGAAAAAAAACTATGCAACTACATGTGCAATCGTTTCCAACAATAAGTTGATGTATTTCATTTTACTCACTGGTGAACCAATGCCGACCGGTGATAGTGTAGTGAAGAACTGCTGCTCAACAAGCAGTCACCTATCCAAGCATTATTAAGAAATGTAAATGTAAAATTATTACATCTTTCTAAATCATATATCTTAACTTTTGAAAAAATAAAAGGTTTTTTATTCAAGAAAATTAATATTAGCAGAGTGTGGCTAAAATGATACCAAATATGTCGTATAGCAGGGGTCGGCAGCCTTTTGTCGCTCGAGGGCCAAAATTAAAGGTTGCAAGTCATTGGCGGGCCGCACATATTTTTAAAAAGTTAAAAATCGAATGGATGACCGATGAATCACATTTTATCACACAGATCGGAAGTTAAATTTTGAACAGCGCGCGAAGACTGACCATTTGAATATTTTTTACGCCATTAAACCCTTTGCACTTAGCATCAACTTTTCTGCGTTTTGTTGCCATTTGTCTAAGTTATAATTAAATTATAGGCTCATTAAACGAGTAATTGTGAATTATATACTTGTTAGGTTATAATATAATTTAATCTAACGTAAATTCTTTTGCGTAAAGAATATTATCGACAAAACAGCTATAATTTGTTACTATAATTCAGTTGGGCGTCGCGGGCCGGATTATATTGCTCTGGCCGGGCCGTAGGTTGCCGACCCCTGTCGTATAGGTTCTGTTGAGATTGCCGGTGTCCCGGATTTTCAACCAAAATGACATAATATATTTTAGTACAATTCAATTAAATAAAAATGTGCTAAATGACAAAACAATTCCCTAGCATGATGCCTCTGGTACATCACACAGGTCATACACATTTCATACAGTAATTAAGACCTTGGTGTGTCAATATATTTTGTGATCATCTCGTAAAATTTGTGTTAAGATATAATAATTTTCTCCAGAAGGGAAAACTATACACTGCAGTCATGACTAGGGCTGGGCAAAATATTCGAATAACGAATAGCGAATCGAATATTAAATTATTCGAATGGCATTTTACTATTCGAATATCGGGTACCACGTGATCTGCGTCGCTTCACTTGGACACAGAACGTCTGTGAACCGATCGTGAATTGCGCGAGAATTCACCTACAAGCTCGCTAACAGACAGAAGCGACAAATTTGAAAAATCGTCTTTGCATTGTGGTGTTATTTGTTTTCTTTGCGTTTCGATCGTTCATTTTAATTCCCTATGTTGCACAAAGAGGTACCGACACCGTTCCCTAAATTTAGCAACGTTAATCAGATGAGGTATTTAAAATAAATATTCCAGATTTTAAACTCCGTATGATTGGCGGCACGTGATTAGCCGTTTCATGCATGCATGCATGATAAGTAATATGAAAGCCAACGCAAATGATAAAAATTAGAATAATATTAATTTGGGTTTTTACATCAATCCTTAATGGTTTTAACAGCTGTTGCCGACGTGAACGCACGGGTAAACCCGAAATATAAACGTCGATGTCCGCCGACCCGAAAGAATTAATACTTGCAAATAACAGAAAGGGCGGTATTATAGATTATATATCACCGCAAAAACGGTCACGGTGACAAAAACAATCAGCGATTATGACGAAATTAACTAGTAAAAAAACGCTTTGTAGCCGATTTTTCAATGTCTTTATTAATTTCCAAAGGGAGTATCGACCGACGTTGTAGACCTCCTGTTGTGTATAAAAAATATTCGTTATTCGACTATTCGTTAAAAATATTCGAACTATTCGATTCGAAAAAAATATTCGATTTTGCCCACCCCTAGTCATGACACCTGCATCCCTACCTTTAAAAATGTAAGAATTTCTAATTCCTGTTTTCTTATATATTACATATCTAAAGCACCGGTAAATGGTATTAAGGTAATCCCTCATGTCTTAGTCGGAATGATATAACTGGTATAAAAATTCACAAGAAGATTCATTAGGACTCAAATATTAGTATGTTAAACACATATTCTCATTAAAAGAGTTTTGAACTCATAGAGGCGTACGATGTAATATTTCTGATCAAGCATGACTTGGTTTTTACATAGAGTAGAAAAACTGTAACAAATTACTTACTTTCGATTTTCTGCTCAATTCTGAATCTGCAAATATATATATTTTCTTGTTTATTGGTGCAAGAAAAAGCAGAAATGTACATAAATTGAAATTGTAATTTGAAAATTACATAAAAAGTTTATTCCTAAGTCTCACAAAAACATATGGTGCTGAAAAAGTGTGTGACAAAGAATTTACAGTGCTGGCGATATTGACCTAATATTAAATATCAAAAATCAATAGTTCGAAAGAATTTTCATTATCCAAATTGTAATATTTGTAATATTATTTAGTGAATACATATATACTCACCTAGAGTGTCATGCATCAGGTAGGCAACGTTGAATCAAAAACCTCTAGGTTTATCCATATTTATGGTTGCTCTATAGATATCAGTAGTTGATTGTCAAGAGCGGGAGCTCTTTAGATATTAGTACTTGATTGTTAAGTGGGAATATGAACTGTCTCAAAAAATGCTGCTCACCTAGTGAAAATAGCAGTGAATCACTTTTTGTTAAACTTGAATCTTGGCTTCTTCTGGAAAGACTTTGTGAAACGAGACTCATCCTTTTATCACTGGAAGTGTTTGAATCGTGGTTCCGCTTTGAATATTCATGCTCAGATATCCTATTTTCTCTTCTGTCTTTGTCATATATGTTTCTGAGCATACTGAATGAACTTTGTTGTGTCTTTGGTGGAAGAAGTGGTATTGCCATTTTGGCAGGTAGACAATCACTTTTATTTTTAGACGCTTTATTAGTTTCATTGTCAGTCTTCCTTTTAAAACCAGATTTTTTTCTCTGTTTTCTAAACCCACAAACTGATCTTGAATAACGCCGATTAAGAGATTGCATCAACATATCCTCCTTTTTATTTTGCATACTTTTCAAATTACTTTTCTTATGCTGAGCTTCAGTTTCCTTAGTTCTGCATGAAATAAGTGGCGCCGCTGATCTAGTGGATTCGATTAGTGGTATATCTGCATTTCCAAAAGCTTGATTATCTGAAACATTGGAATTAATTGTCTTTGTATATGCTAAAACAGGACTTCTGAAATTTCTTGTTTGCCTTGACCTTGGAGCAGGATTAGATGTTAACTGTGGCCTCGCAAAATTGTAAGTTTCAGCTAAAGTCAAGCTACGAAAAGTAGGACCCAAATCAAAACAAGATTTGTCATTGTAAGAAGCAGAAATCCAGGATTCTCGATTTCTTAATCTAGGTTCCAGACAAAGTTTTAAAGGTAGTTTATTATCACTATGGCATCTTTGAAATGATAAACATGTTGGCTGTTTGTGCTGTTGCTTGCTGTCAAGATCAAATTGTGCCATTTCATGATGTGGCACAGGAGTGAAAGCTTTACCGATGACAGAAACTTCCATATCCATAACTCCCATCAGGTCAGTATAGTGATTTAATCCAAGTTACTCTAAAGAACTTCAAGTTCAAGATATAATATAGCATTTATGTATCATATTGAAAAGCTATATCACCTAGTTGTGAAAAAGGCGGTTCAAACATCATTTATTATATTTGTAAAAGTGTTTTTTTTTACATCAAAAGTTCTTCATCGAATCATATTTGACCCATGTTCAGGCACAATTATTCTAAAAAAATAGAAATTATCAATTATATCGAAGATCATGCATATCAGTGACAATGTACAATATTAAAGGAAGTAAGTTATAATCCAACATTACAGTTATAAGATTGAAAAAATAGGCTAAACCGTCTAAATTACAACTATAAAATTGGGAAAATTCAATTATATGAAGACGTTTTTGTAGTAAGTTGACATTAATTGGCATTAGGTGACTCTAACTATAATCAGCTTGACAATATCTTTGGAGGAATATTTTTCTATCAACAGTCAGACAGTATATAACTTCTGTTGTCTAATTCAGTATCCAATTTGGCAATCCTCATAAAATTATTAATATGGTGTGGCAAAAAATTTTTTTTTATTTTAAATATATTTTTTTTTTCTTTTTACTGAGTAATTGATTTTGTGTCTCGCTTTTTTCTCTTCCGATCTTATCATATCTCGGTGATTGTGTGTGTGCATGCCCCAATTAGCTTTAATACTTTTGGGTGAGCGAACACGTACTACTTCTTTTATCAATACCTTTCCATCTAAAATCTGTACGTTTCAAACCTCACTTGAGATTTGGTTTGCTCTCTATTTGTTTCGTTTTTATCAATTACGGTACTTTATCGCCTATTATGCTGATTATGGAGTCGAAATAAACTTATACTTATTAATTCAATTACACCAACAACAGAATATTGATAAAATCAGCTTAAATTTAAAATCGATTTATTTGAAATTGCTACACCCCATTGTAACTTAGGACGAAGCCTCCTTACCTAGTGGTGAGATTCAATTTTTTTGTCAGCCGGTTCCATAACAAAAGTCATATTTTTCACCCGGTTCTGTTACAAAAAGTCATTGACAGTAATCAGCAATGCTAACCGGTTCGCTGATCTCATAAAATCCTGTGAGACGGTTCTATAGAACCGGCTGAATCCCACCACTGTTCTTACCGGTAGCCCATCAAAAAACCTTTTTTTTTTATTTTTTTTTGGGTGGCCAAATTAAAATCCATTGCCAATTTGGATTTATGAATATGATATTTTTGGTTATCCAAATACATGATTTCAATTTAGTTGAGTGGAGTCCATTTTTTTTATATTATTTAGGTGATTTTACAAGTATACAATATACAGATAAATATTGACAAATATTTTACAAAAAATTTACCCATTTCGATTAGATCCATTTTTTTTTTCGTCCATGTTTGTGATACAATAAATCCAGTGTCCATTTAAATACATTTTTCCAATAACAGCATTCATATCATACAATATATATTATCGATTTATTCATTATTAGCATTTTATATGAAAAAACAAGATTTTAGAAGGATTAGACAAATAATCGGACAATTACCTATCATGCCTTACTGCCTTAGGTAATCTCTACATTCGATGTCTATGAACGCAACTTGTTCAACTTATTTTCAATATTGTAAGTGAACACGAATGGGAACAATGATTGTCACAACATAATCGATTTATTAATTATGCAGTCCATATGATCATTTTCAAGCAAGTCATTTCTTTCCTCATCGAAAAACCTTTCCTGTTTCTCGTCGCAAGGAACGCTTAATCTGTTGTCAGCAATAAGAGGTCGTGACCCACCAAACCATGCATGAAATAAAATACCGCCAGGGTCAAGGGTGTGCGGCAACATGGATGCTAAATATTTACCGCTGTTCTAAGCTGCGGAAGAAAGATTAAATATTTTATTAGCCAGGAAAGTCATGGAAAATATATACAAATCGATAAACACTTTTTTTTTGTACGACCGTTAGTTTACCTGTTTGTAGCCCATCGAAAAATCTTTTTTTTTATTTTTTTTTGGGTGGCCAAATTAAAATCCATTGTCAATTTGGATTTATGAATATGATATTTTTGGTTATCCAAATACATGATTTCAATTTAGTTGAGTGGAGTTCATTTTTTTATATTAATTAGGTGATTTTACAAGTATACAATATACAGATAAATATTGACAAATATTAAATAACGATACATTTACCAATTCCATTAGATCCAGTTTTATTTTCGTCCATGGTTGTGATACAATTAATCCAGTGTCCATTTAAATACATTTTTCCAATAACAGCATTCATATCATACAATATATATTATCGATTTATTCATTATTAGCATTTTATATGAAAAAACAAAGTCATGGCAATTATATACAAATCGATAAACACTTTTTTTTTGTACGACCGTTAGTTTACATGTTTGCGGTTCCCACAAGAGGGAAAGAGAGAGAGAGCGATTTATTGTCACAAATATCTCTGTGGCTAAGAATATTCCATAGGATTCTTTTATGAAAGTGTTTATATTTCGGTGTCTTCCGAAATATCAATTTTCGCATATCAATTTTAAAAAGCATTTTTTTGTATTGTGCGGTGATTGCAGTATTAAAAATCGGTGTTATATTGTGGCAAAATTACCGATGTAGCGCTACCGCATTGCCAGCCAAATTTTAGAAAAATTGTACCGAATGTCCTCATACCAAGATGCTTCGTGAATTATAAAATACCTGAGTTACCTCAAAATTTTATTTTTATGATATCCGCCATTGGACAAATTTTTAAACCTGGTCTGGAGGTGGTTTAACTCGGTTTGTCGAGTGCATTTGGATTGCGGCGCTTGTCGCGTTGGATGTTATCGCTTACCGTACAAGCGTGACGACGAATAAATAATTGTATACCTGTACCACGAGACTGCGATGGTTCCATTATCTTTGAACCCGCGTACATTTGAACCCGTACATCTGAACCCGTAATTTGAACCCAGGACAATTGCACCTGTATACTATTGCACCTATGGACATTTGCACCTACGGACATTTGAACCCATACATTTCCACCCATGGATTTTAGCACCCGCATATAGATTGAACCCGCGGACATTTTAACCCGTGTACGTTTGCACCCTCGTACATTTGAACCCATGTACATTTGCACCCGCGGACATTTGAACCCGTGTACGTTGCACCCGCGTACATTTGAACCCATGTACATTTGCACCCGCGGACATTTGAACCCACGAACATTTGCACCCGCGGACATTTGAACCAATGTATATTTCCACCCACAGACATTTGAACCCACGTATATTTGAACCCGCGTACATTTGAACCCACGGACATTTGAACCCGCGTATATTTGAACCAACGTATATTATATTTGAACTCGCTTAATTTGAACCCGCGTACATTTGAACCCACGTACATTTTCACAAAAAATGTTTGCCCCAACGGCAATTTCCAGTCGCAAATAATTTTCATGTTACAGGCGCAAGCTCAATATTCTAAATTTCAACACTGTTTCACTTGTAGTTAGTTTTGGTGTATATGCATTTATCCGCTTCTACGAAGCAAGCATTTTTGAGTGTCATTGTAGTCCGAGGGATAAACGTCTCTTAACGATATAAACAACATTGTTCTGCCAAATTTTTTCTTTTGCTGTTTTTTTACATTGACATTTGTAAACCTTATTTCATTCGTTAGCCGCGATCTCCAAAACAGACGATGACCTAGAAAGCGGTATTTCGTTGAAATACCTGAAACCAGGGCTAATACGGAACAAATATCTCACAGACCAATGAAGTCTTAAATGAGGGTCTTACTAAAACTAGCTTTACAGTAATATTTTTAGTGGTCAACTCCTATAAATTTGTTCTGAAATTATTGCACCGAAAACGCCTACTATGATATCCCGCCCAGCATGAGATTTGGGAGCTCTGTGGCCACTTCATGTTTTCTTGCTAGCATGTTTACAAAATTGTTATATGTATGCATACACGACCACGCTTTACTGTTGAAAATGAGTGTTGTCTCAAATCAGGTTTTGACATTTTTCCTAAAATCAATCTATAAATTGAATACTATTGTCTGTATATAAATAAATAAACTCACAGATTCTTCGTTTCTAAGAAAATATGAAATTAAGATAATGAAACTATGCCATTTTTGTAACAACATGTTCATAGCCAAATGCCAGTTTTATTGAAGTATTGTTTCATTAGAATGTCAGAACAAAACTATACATAGAAATCGTAAGTCATGTAAATATGTTGAATATTCGAAAGTGAAGAAGTTTTAAAATCATTATCGTGGCCAAAAATGTTTTTGCTGTTTACACTATTTAGAGTGAATCGAACATATTCAGCATATAGGGTCTGTTAAATATGATATTGCAATTTACAAACGACGTCATAGGTTACGGATTACATTTATTTTAATATCTCAATAAAGTTATCACTCACAAATTTGTGTCGAATGGGCGATCAATTTTGAGATAGAGTAGCTATGGACGTTTTACAAAATAGGAATTTATCAATTATGATACAATAGTTAAACAACAAATCAAATAATGACGATAAACGAAATTTTACGATATCACGATCAAATCAAAATCAAATAGACTGCATTTGAGCTATTGAGTGGAGATACCTCAGCTTGTCGGTTTCAGTTCCATATGAAAAAACTTAACTGTCAACCTAACAGCAAGTTGTACATACTTTGATCTTTGGTGGGCCGTAACTCCTACATGAGCATTTGCCGCAGTCAGTTTGTGGACCGCAATGTCTTTTCGTAGGCCATTCAGCAAACCCCATATATATACTCGGATGTTTGCATCGGAACATTCCTTGTAAGGCGTTGTGAAATCCTTCTACAGCGTTTGTTGTTCTTGGGGCCGAAGGCACCATTTCAATCTCTTTGGCATAGTTCCACAATCGAGGGGGAAATCTTGTTTCTCTTGGACGTGAACCCACTTGAGGTCCACGAATGTAGGTAGATTCAAAATATTGCAAAAGTTGATTGCATTCGGGCAAATCTTCAAAGGTGTCGCAAAGCAAGGGAAGACTTCGGCAACCTCGTTAATGGGAACAAAAGCCAGAGCTGCCAAACTTCTAATTTTCAGATTGAAAGAAGGTAAACATTCAAACTTCTCTTTTAATCCGATAGAACCAACTTTTCGAAATAGCTTGTGACAGGTGAAAATAACATTCTTTAAAATCGGAAAGGTGCATGGAATGCATTGATAGCTGCTATTTCAAAATCAACAATGATTTTGGTGGGGTTAGCATTTGGGAAAATGATTTTCAACGCTTCCAACATCTGAACGTATGTTTCTTGTCGCTTGTCTCGTAATAGGAAATATACGCATGGTGGATAGGATGCGCCCACTTTACAGTGAATTGTATACAACTGGAAGAAAATATCGGGCACCACATCAAATGTACCGTCGCCAAGATATGGGTCACTATCTAGATGTGCAAGTAGTGATCGATCTCCAATGGCCATTATCCGATGACGATCCTCCGAGCCAGTGTCATGCAAAATGATATCTAAATATTCGCTCGGAATATCAAAGCTTGCACTTGTAGGATTCGTACGTGAACAATTTTTCTGTCGCCTTACTCTGCGTATATTGGCCTCCAGAGTCGACTTGCCTGGCAAGCGCATTACTACATCTGTTGATCTATTATTCAATACTTCACCTAAAATATATCTTGTCGATGTATTTGATGGTGTTGATGCTGCTTCTTTTAATGTTGCACGGATGATCCCAACTTCAGTCTTAATGCTGTCGCCAGAATGACTGTGATATCCTAGTTCTTTTATTACATTTTCACCGATTGTAACAACAGTCGATTTACATCGAAATTTCCTAAACTGACGGCAGCGCCAATGAGTAGCATCTGAAACCCGATCATTTCGCTTACAATATTCGTGGCCTTTGTAAATCAGTAAGTCGTTTCCTCTTGTGGTCTTGGAAAATGTAGGCGCCATGTTTCCAACTTATTTTCGCAAAGGGACTTGTCATCTT